TCGAGAATCTTAAATTTTGCATCCACTTTAATCATTTCACACTTTTACGTAGAAGATTGGGTATCTACTTAATGTGAGCGTATCCAATATTGCGGATTAATAATTCGAAACATTCAAAAGTTTTTACATCATAATAACTACATAGGTACACGTAGATTATATGGGATGCGTTTTATTTCGAAGGGTTTAGTAGGTATTTTTGTAAACCAGTCAAAACGAGTTCGATACTGAGTATTATTAGGTATATTATGATGGCAATTACATAAAGACAGTAGGTACATACGTACTTCATTGTAAACTTAAAAGTTCAATTTTTGGGTTAGCCTTCGTGGCATTTTAAAAATGTTTTCTATACTCGTTCAATGCGCTAATGTACGTACTTGATGCCATTTTGGAATAATTATTAATCATAATATAATAATAAAGTCTTTTATTAAATCATGCCACACACACAATTTAACAAGTTAACAAGGCGAAGTTCAGATGTTGGGCTACTCATGGCGACCCAACTCTGACCTTACACTTAACTTTCAAGAGCACAATTTTCCGAACACTTATTTTCAGTATAAAAAATTGGGACGTTTCCGAGATATTCGTTTGTATTTTGCATACATTTCTTTAAAATTTATATCTACATTTTTCGATAAAATATAAAAACACTATGGTCCTTACTGAAGAAGAAGCTAAAAACAAAAAAACTCCAAAAACGACTTCAGTAACATTGCATTTCCTATAGTAAATGTAGATAATTGGTTTTTGAAAATTGGTCAAACACCGAATATACGAAAGAAGCTAAAATTAATGTCACATCACCGATGGAGAAGTACTGTACCGATAACAAAAAATTTTTTGTTTAATTCTTTCAAACGAAAATGTGTACAAACAAAATGTGGGCCCAAAAACTATTAATTCGTCCAGTATACTTAGGATGTGGAAGTAGGTACTGATTCTAACGTGTTTTAGAGTGTTTCCAGTAATTTGAAAAGGTTTCAAGCACTTTAAATTACTTCAAGCACTTTCAAAGGGCTTCAAGCACTTTTGAAGGGCTTCAAGCACTTTAAATGGCTTTAAGCACTTTCCAAGAGATTGATACTTTATATTTTCAATTACTTTAAAAAATGCTTGGTAATTCCAAGCCCTGTCACTATATAAACACAACAAAGTGCTGGTTGCTTAATGTTTCAAGCCCTTTTCAAGACTTTACCCAGCTCTGCCTACAACGCCAAAAAAAGAAGTTTAGCATCGAAAATCGGGGAATATACGCTATACGAAGTATAGATTAGAAATGATACACAAACAAGTAAGTCTAGTCAAAATCCATCACCTACCGCTTTGTTGGCAGTCAAAGCAAGAAAGATATAATATGTATATATAGAGTCAAAATGGATCTTTTGTAGTAGTTTCTTTACTCAACTCAACTGAACCAGTGTTCAATCACAAGTTTTAAAAAATTATGAGGGATCTAAAGGTGCAATTTTCCAAATATTTCTAAGATACTGAAAATTGTGCTCTGAAGATTCTTATAAATTCTTGCATACGTTTTTGAAGATTATGAATGAGGACATATACTTTTAATTTAATACAAATTAAACTTTTTCTGCAAGTGCAATGAGTCTTATGTATAGGTAAATGAACAAACTTAATAAAGCTGTGTGATACAATCGTTCTTACACACAAGAATGTTCAGAAGTAGGAATCGAACTTGATTTGTTCTTCTTTATTTTCTAGGCATAATTGTCAATATTTTGAATTCAACCGGAAACCGGAGGCATACGTTACCAGGAAATCGTAATAAATAAGGTAAAAATGTGTTTATAAACATAACTTTTAGATACGCGTGGCGATTCTAATTTAACGGACTTTATCTTTAATATCATTCATCGTTCTATTAATAGATCATTGATAACTGTATCTGCCAATTGAACGAGTTCTATTTTTGTCACCATTTAATCTGAAAATAAAGTTTCTTTTAGTAGGTATTGAAGACAATAAAAGGTCATCTTTAATTTTTAAAAAATGCTGTCCTCTTGGACCATCATCTATCATCTTTAACACACTGTGTTACAGTTAGTGGTACCATACGCCCCTCGATACCTACCACGCTATACGGACATATTATGATTTAGTTTAAAAGCTGCCCAAGCACTACCCTCCCCCATTTGGCGCCGTAATTAAAACGTTGTTGACTACAGATAAATATAATAGTATTAAAAGAAAGTGTTATATTTTACAAACTGAATGAAAATATGGTCGCCATGAACCTACAAGACGAAATCAATGATCTCTAAACTTGGAAAACTCGTCGAAGTTCAGATTTTCAATGTCCTTTTTCTAAACACGAGTGACGGTTACGTGATGTGATAACCCACGTGCATTGCAATATTATTCTAGGAAAAACAACTATCAGTGATTACATCAATTTCTTCGTATTGGCTTTGTTTATAAAATGAATAAACAAAGGGATTGGTTTCTTTAGTCAATGTATGTAATGAATACTTTTGATTGAGAAGTCTGATCGAAAAAGTACGAATTGTTTTGGATTCTACGCACCAAAATTAATAAGAAAAAGTGTTTTCCAGAGAAATTTTGGGGCAGTCTATTTTGGTTAAAAAGGAAGGTTGTACACTGCCTTTTTTTGAGGCCCTCAAAAAAATTGTCTCAGATCGAACCGGAAAAACAATTTTCTTATAGAATGTGGCCTGTAGAATCCATAATTTCAAACAGTTCCAAGATTGGGCTACTAGTTCAAAAGTTACAGCCCTTTGAATTTTCTTCCGAAATTGGTTTCTAGTCCATAACTTTTGATTGAGAAGTCTGATCGAAAAAGTACGAATTGTTTTGGATTCTACGCACCAAAATTAATAAGAAAAAGTGTTTTCCTGAGAAATTTTGGTGCAGTCGATTTTTGGTAAAAAAGGAAGGTTATACACTGCCTTTTTTTGAGCCCCGAAAAAAAATTGTCTCAGATCGACCCGGAAAAAAATTTTCTTATAGAATTTGGCCTGTAGAATCCATAATTTCAAACAGTTCCAAGATTGGGCTACTAGTTCAAAAGTTACAGCCCTTTGAATTTTCTTTCGAAATTGGTTTCTAGTCTATAACTTTGATTGAGAAGTCTGATCGAAAAAGTACGAATTGTTTTGGATTCTACGCACCAAAATTAATAAGAAAAAGTGTTTACCCGAGAAATTTTGGTGCAGTCGATTTTTGGTAAAAAAGGAAGGTTGTACACTGCCTTTTTGTTGGCCCGAAAAAAAAATTGTCTCAGATCGACCCGAAAAAAAATTTTCTTATAGAATGTGGCCTGTAGAATCCATAATTTCAAACAGTTCCAAGATTGGGCTACTAGTTCAAAAGTTACAGCCCTTTGAATTGGTTTTTTTTCTAGTCTATAACTTTTGATTGAGAAGTCTGATCGAAAAAGTACGAATTGTTTGGATTCTACGCACCAAAATTAATAAGAAAAAGTGTTTTCCCGAGAAATTTTGGTGTAGTGGATTTTTGGAAAAAAAGGAAGGTTGTACACTGCCTTTTTTTGAGCCCCGAAAAAAAATTGTCTCAGATCGACCCGGAAAAAAATTTTCTTATAGAATGTGGCCTGTAGAATCCATAATTTCAAACAGTTCCAAGATTGGGCTACTAGTTCAAAAGTTACAGCCCTTTGAATTTTCTTTCGAAATTCGTTTCTTTTCTAGTCTATAACTTTTGATAGAGAAGTCTGATCGAAAAAGTACAAATTGTTTTGGATTCTACGCACCAAAATTAATAAGAAAAAGTGTTTTCCCAAGAAACTTTGGTGCAGTCGATTTTTGGTAAAAAAGGAAGGTTTGTACACTACCTTTTTTTGAGGCCCTCAAAAAAAATTGTCTCAGATCGACCCGGAAAAAAAATTTTCTTATAGAATGTGGCCTGTAGAATCCATAATTTCAAACAGTTCCAAGATTGGACTACTAGTTCAAAAGTTACAGCCCTTTGAATTTTCTTTCGAAATTCGTTTCTTTTCTAGTCTATACTAATGATAGAGATAGGAGCAAGAAATTCCTTTTCGATGTGTCCACCTGGCTCTTTACACTTTGCTGGAGCTGGAGTGAATTTTGATACCCGAAGGCAACCGATAAAGTACTTTATTCACGATCATATTGTAATCAGTCTCATAATTGTCATTTTGAAGGATGAGGGAGTGTATTTTACAACACTTGTTTTTCCAGGAGGGAAGAAAGTAGATTCTCGAGGTTAGTAATATTCATTACCTACTCGACTACGGCTCCTAACAACTGTTGTTTGGACAATCGCTCTGTTCTTGTAAACCGAATTACTTCTTCTTCTATTGTTACTTATGAGTATCTGGAGTCTATAATATACATAACATAAAACATAATGGTGAACGAACGAGCGACTTAGTACAAGAATCACGAATATTTAAAAAGTACGCTCGAAGGCAAGATAGCGCAAGATTTGGAAATTGCAAAGCTGAAGTTCGTGGGAAAAGGAGACCGCATTATTGCAGAAACCTACGGCCTATACACTCTTATCTGAGGAAAAGCTTACTAGAATTTTACACACTTCTGTTACACCGACTAGAATAAAAATAAGGTAACTGATCCAGGCTTTTCTACACAATTAAAATTTAAGGGAAAGGAAGAACAGGTTACTCGTCATCCTGAAAACCCTGCCCCGAATGTCAGTAGTATAGAAACCTTCAGAACGCACTTGCAAACAACTGCGCGATAGTATTGACTATATTATTATTTTTTGTAAATAAGTAATTGATTCTTTGTCCGATGCTTGGAAAAAATGTTCTAACGATCAAAGCCGCAGCCGCATCCATAAAAAATGTGTGAAAGAATTACAGTTTGTGTAATTTCTATTAATTAGCACCTCAAAGTAGGAAAAGCGTTCCCATTTTGAACGTTGAGTGTTATATAAACAAACCTTCTATTTCATATTTAGAGGCGAATGCTCCTTCACAAATTACAACACTAACTTTTTATCGCGCTTACCTGTGCAATAGTCACATGTTGATCCAATAACAAAATGCGTGCAAAAATCGCTACTGGCATTTATACCGTGTATTGTCGCATTTGCCTGGCTACATTGATCATCAAAATGGTACAAATTAATAACTGTATCATTGTATATGATTCCTTGGTTCTTTGCAGCCTGTTCGGCCTCTCTGATAACAGAAACCGTCTAAAACTGCATGCTTAAAACTAGTGGATTAAACACAATTACTAACCTTCTCCATGTTGATAATATAGTAAGAACTTTGGGGTAAAATCAAAGCAATATTAAGGCGACAAGTTCCATTGGCAAAGCACACAGTTTCACAAGATCTAGGATTCGGCCCTTCTCTACAAACCCCACTTTTATGACAACTATCAACACCCCAAGGAGTATTCCTCAACGCTCTGGTTATTCCGAAGAACAAAGCAATTAGCAAAACCCGCATCACTGATACTCTTTAGATTTCACAAGCGTATTAATATATGCGAATATGTTTCGTTAGAGTTGGACACATTTTAGAGCAAATAAAACATTACGACGTATTCAACAGCGCTGACAATACTATGTGTGATACATTCCGATATCGAGTGTTGATAACCCCTTCCAACAGAGATTAATAAGATAAATGATATTAAAGCTTAAACATGGTCGATTCCTTTCCGCCAAATCGCCTTCGATATCCACTCTAAATGAGATCCCAAACCGGGACAGAAAGTATGTCTAATGATTTCTACGGTAGTCTTTGACTCTTCTTCAAGTCTTAATCCATAGATCCACTAGTCATAGCAAATTTGATATGCACACAAATAGAAATCGAATCGAGTACGTTTTAATAAAACTTTATCGAACTTGAAATGAAAAACCATATGCTAAATGCAAACCAAACGATAAATCACTAATAGAATTGGTAAAATTTGAAGGGCCCATATGTGTGTGTATTGCTACTGATTGGAAGAGCAAGTCTAAGTACGCATATGGCACCACTTTGCGTACTAACATTTGGGGTGCATTAATTAATAAGTTAATAAAAAAGTTCATGTAGCACTGGAAACCATTGAAATGCACAGAATAACTTCGCAGATCCTGTAAAACTCTTATTTAAATAGCGGTGCTTAGATCTAAACCCACTTGCCATTTACCTGAAAGGAGATAACATTCTGTTATGACCCTTGAAATAATGTTTCTTTTGCAATTATAAGCTGAAGATTATTCACAAATTACGTTTTTGAGCGGTCATTTGGAAGAAGGCAAAACGACGTCAGCTCCTTCGAAAATGTTCCTAGATATCACGTTCTAATATGATCCGACGCTCAATGGTGAACCAATTTTTCCTAAATGCAGCTTGAAATGGCACTATTGTATTGCGTTTTTCAAGGTAGCACTGTTGTTAATTATCCTTTTCAAAAGTTTTCCCGTACAACACGTGAGACCAATAATTACCTTCTTTAAGAGCCCATAGGTTATTGTATAATTGCAATACCTACGCTTATTTTTATTTCATGAACTTTGGTAACTACGAAATGCCGCCTTTTTATTATTGACAATTAGCTTAGCATTAGTTTTTCACCAGGCGAGGGATCGTTTCACTGGGGTATTAGCCGGCTTGTGTATGCTCCACTAAAGTGTTTGCACCTACAAGTACTGTGGGGATTTTAGTGGCTAAACGAACGTATGCGGTAAGAAAGTCTTTGGTTACTGCCCTATCTGGCACGATGGGTGAGGAAGTGGTCACTAATGTGTGCATGTTAGTTACTCAGTGAAATACATAGGTATACAAAGAGATTTTTTTAAGATAATACATAGGAACAATTCTCCTATAGACTTTTAAAGTGGGTAGTTCCCATACCCACATTTAATAAAAATTTGTAGGCAATATTTTGCCAATTTTTCGGCCTATTCAGAAAATATCTTTCAATCGATTATTAATTAACTTTGAAGGCAACGCTATGGCTATACTTTTTGGTAGTTTGTCCACTGTTTTAATATAATCAAAGTAGTATAATTGTGTTACTTTCTATGAATTTTAGAGGAAAGTCTGTGCTGTGCTGTATATTCCCCCTGGAAGTTTCGTCTTCATAATATTCACCCCGGATGATTCGCTCTCGGAAGATTAGCCCCGAGCACATTCGCATTTCGCCCCTGTAAGATTCGTCCTTATTACTCATCAGAAGATTCATACGCGGAATAGTCGCCACGCGGAAAATTTTGCTCCATGAAAGTCACTCCCGGAGTATTTGCTCCTAGGTGATTCGTTCTCTGAACATTTGCCGTTAGTATCTTCGCCAGGAAGTTCAGCACATTGTCTTACACTTCCGAAAAGTAACGTTACCACCAGCGCTGACGTAAAAATCAATTTTTATTTGCGCACTCTTTAAGAATTACAAAAATTTGTGATTGTCCTTTAAACTTTCTTTCATAAATCTTTGGATGGATCCAAAGGGGAATTTACCAGGAGCAAATATTCTGGAGGCTTAATTATTTCCAAGGAGAATTACTTGTGGACGTGTTGTCTTGGGGGCGACTTTACTGAAGGGAACTGTTTTGCGTGAATCTCGCCCGACAATGGAAAGTTGCAGTAATGCACCTACAATGCAATATAATGTAACGAACATAAAGTGACTGCTACCACTGTAAATTTAAAGGTCGAGAGCTTTATGGGGAAATACTTTATGTTGTCAACTCACTCTACCATTGATATTAAACGACATTATGTGAAACTTTACTCATTTCTATTAATGGGTTAATGGGGTAGTTGCAATAAAACACAGACGTAAAGTAAAGACGATCTTTATTCGACTACAGCTTTCGTGTGATTGGATTTTATTAATGTGGCCAAGGGTATACATAATATGTATTCCTTAGAAAACAAAGAGGGTTTATTTTATATATGGAAATCAAGCATGACGCCCTTCTAACATTCTTAGACATTTTTAGTGCCTTACAATTTCCCCCTTTTACCAATCATAATATATCAATTAAGTGTGACGCGACATATTTTTTGTATACCTATTCAACAATTTCTGATTACTTTGAAAACTTTGAATGGACGAAGCGATTTGAGACATGCTAGGCTTTAAGGCTAGATATTCTTAAGATCCGGAACGTGAATAGTTTGTCCACTGGGCGAAATTTTAGGGAGCGAATTTTCCGAAGGCAAATCTTCCGCGGGCGAATATTTACCTGGGGGCAAAGAATACTTAATAATTACTCTTTGCTGGGGGTGAGATTACTTGGGTGCGAATCTGAAAAGTGTAGCGTAATTTTTCTTACTTCTGGCAGCTCTTCAGGTTATAATCCTCTTTCTCTCAATATCTATCTAAAACAAGTCGACTTTCTGTGAATTTCAGTATAATGCCTACACCATTGTTTAAAGTAAAGTATTTAAACAGTGCCTGTACTATATTTTTTGGTAGTTTCTCCTCTGTAGGTACCTCTTATATAACAAAAGTAACGTGATTTTTGTCACATCTGCCAACTTTTCAAGATAATCCTTTAAGAAATCAAAGTAAATGATTTCATTTCGACAGAGCGGAATGTAATTTTGCCTGATAGGGTGTTCACTGTGTAAATTGAAATTAATTACGAGTCGCAAAGTTTTCTCTTCACACGCGTTTCAATTGGCAAAGTAACAACTTCTAGCTATTCAAATGTTGACGAAGATGGTGGTCAAATGAATAGTGATCGACATCTTTCAATAAGTTCAAGCTTCTCCAGCTTCTACACATCCATGGTCACACTCTCTAACCACAGCTTACTGTGCTCTAACGTCGACGATTCCCTCTTTTTTTAAACAATTTTTTGTATCAATATAAACTGGTCTAAACATTCATTGCACGAATGGCGGGAAATGTTAACACCTCGCGCTAGGCAACTTATCATACACTTCATCCCTTTGAAGAACAGTTCATTGTTTCAAATACAAAAGGGCGACATTGACAGTTTACTATGACGGTTGCACTGGCAAATGACAGGAATGCGATAAACTCACTTTTCGAATCTAGACGGTAATGGTCCAATTGATTGAAATTCTTCATTCTATTGAAATAAGAGAAAGTTAGGTGGGAAGGACTGAAGAAATGTGTTTTATAATATTTTGGACGTGAATATGGTCTCTACAAGCCCAATTAAATTATATTTATATACATACTGATTGTTAAAACTTTTGTGTTTCGGTACACGAGGAATTAGGCAAATCATAAGACTTATCCTTGCCGCTAGCTATACGAACCAACATCAACATCTCTGCAACAAAGCAGTCTTAGACTTTGCGGATTCGATGAATGTCGGGAGTGCTATGCTTCTTGCACTCGTGTTGTCTTTTGCTTTTGCAGCTGTGTTACAGTGCCATAAAATAATGGACTACTTTAAATTTTCATTTAACTCGAACCAGGTTAGTCGCCTTTTTCTTTTACCATTAATAAGACAATTGTAAATAAATTGCGTTAATATCTGTGTGTTAACTGAAGAGATGTCAAAATGTCGACGACCTTTTAGTATTCGCTAAGCATACTTTACCCTACATTCTAAAAGGAATGTAAGTATTATTTTTTACCATTACTTAAAGGTTAATCACGTTTTGTTATACCCTTTCGTCTTAAAAAACGGAACAGACGGTAAAAAGTAAGAAATAGTAAAAAATGGCTAAGAAATATGCCAAGCCTTCGTCATGTGACTGATGATGGAATGCTGTACGAATTCGTGCGTTTGTAATCCCATAATTGTAGATAGATTGTTAAATTACTAACTTCTTAAAGATTGTTAACAATAAATCATTTATTCCACTCAGATCGTAATAATTAAAAATTATCGTCTATTATTTGAATCTGTAAATACAAATAAAACGTGGTAATTTCAATGATAGATTAAGCGACAGAAATTTAAAAATAGAGAAAACGTCCTAAATATTAAACTTATTATAGGCACTATAAAATTTATTGTTATATTTCAACTTTCACGTATTTATTGATCAGTATAATTTTCCGTAGACAATGCGGGAATGAGATTCCTCGGTTTATATAAACAATTGTGTTGCGTTCTAGGGGTAACAAATGAGATGAGTCATCCGCCAGGACTTTTAGAAAGACTATCCCCCAGGCCCGCAGGATGCCCGTTAATCCATTTGGGACACAATTCATCGCCTGCTTGCGACCAAGAATCTCATGCGACGAGTCATTCGCATAACGTAGAATATGTTTATGACTACCACTCGCAGTACATGGCGATGTACAACACCAACACCCCAGAAAAAAGAAAAAACCATCTAAGCTTAGAAAATGATTATTTGCATAAGGGATCATCCGAGTGCGACTATCTGCAAACCCAAATTTACCAACAACACGCTTACCTAAATAATGGCGGGGACCAAAATTCTAACAGCGGGGAGAACCTGAGGCACTCAACGCTTGTAAATTCGTTTCAGAAGCAAAATTCCTTGGATCTGTCATCTTTGTCCTTTGACCAGAGTTACTGGGAGCACGAAAATTATAATAAGCAGGAAATGAACCCATCCAATTCCAGTCCTGAATATTTTAGATCGCCAACTAATCAAGAGAGTGAGTCGAATTACCTGCTAGATAATTTTGCAAAGCTTGGAAAGTCGAGTCCCAGTTTAGATCAGGGGTACCACACTTTAGTGTCGCCTAGTCCTGGTCCAATAACACCTAGTCTGTGGAGTGAAGGTAACGTCTATCGCGGGAAGAAGTTCCAGACCAAGAATAATTCGTTTGATAGATTGCCCGATAAACTTGTTATCCGAATATTTAGTTTTCTTCCAAGTTTAGATTTAAGTGTTTGCGCCAGAGTTTGTAGACGATTTGAAATTCTGTCTTGGACACCATCGTTATGGCGAACAATTACTCTGCAAGGGGAAACAATTAGTGGGGATCGTGCCATACGCGGAGTTTTGCGACAGTTGTGTGGTCAGGGAAGAACTGGAGCTTGTCCCAGTGTAGAACGAGTGCATTTAACGGATGGCGCTAAGTTAACCGACCGGGGATTGATGCTATTAGCGAGAAGATGTCCCGAATTAACTCATCTCCAAGTTCAAGGCAGCACGACTGTTTCAAACAATGCCCTATTCGAAATTGCCACCAGGTGCCATAACTTACAGCACTTAGACGTTACCGGATGCACGCAAATATCTTGTATCAGTGTAATTCCCGGACCTGAACCTCCCAGACGATTGCAATTGCAATATTTGGATTTAACTGACTGTCCCGCATTACAAGACTGCGGGCTGAGAGTTATTGTTCGGAATTGTCCACAGTTAGCCTACTTGTATCTTCGTAGATGTGTTCAAATTACAGGTATAAATGTTTAAAGGGTTGTGCTGTAATTACGTTAAAAATATGTTTTTGCAGATGCCGGATTAAAGTTTGTGCCAAGTTTTTGCTCAGGTTTAAGGGAACTTAGTGTTAGTGACTGTTCGAACATAACAGATTTTGGATTATATGAACTTGCAAAGTTGGGTGCTACATTGAGGTATCTTTCAGTCGCTAAATGCGACCAAGTCAGCGATGCCGGATTAAAGGTGGTCGCAAAAAGGTGCTACAAGCTAAGGTATTTAAACGTTAGGGGATGTGAAGCGGTTTCAGATGATGCCATAACAGTTTTAGCAAGATCCTGTACGCGATTGCGTGCCTTAGATATTGGTAAATGTGATGTTAGTGATGCAGGGCTGAGAGCTTTAGCAGAAAGCTGTCCAAATTTGAAAAAGTTAAGTTTAAGAAATTGTGATTTAGTAACTGATAGGGGTGTACAATGTATAGCATATTATTGTAGAGGTTTACAACAATTAAACATACAAGACTGCCAAATATCTTTGGAAGGCTATCGCGCTGTCAAAAAGTATTGTAAAAGATGTGTTATAGAACACACTAATCCAGGATTTTTCTAGTTGAGAAGTGATTGTTTATATATTTATATTTTAGATAAATTTTTTTTATAAATAACACGTTGTTAAGTATTTATTTTTGTATATTTGTATAGTCTAGGTAGGCATTACCTGTAATTGTTTATTTTTACAAGTGATAAAATCCATAACCAATAGCCCAAAGAATTTTTTTATTACAACAGTGTATTCATCATAATTACATCATGGTACATATCGGTCGACAATTTTAAACTAAAGTAAATTTGGATTTTCTAATCAATGTAGGTAATATAACATCTGAAATTATTTATTTTATTGTAGGCGACCACAGCGCGTCACTTCTCCTATGAAACCCTGCAAGCGCATTTGTTTTTTGTTTTGGGTTTTGCATTTTGTTGCAGATATTCTTGAGTGACCTCACCGTAAATCCCAAAATAAAGGGCGAGAATGTTGTCGAGTCTCACAAAAAAGGGACATCATGAACTTATAAATCTGCAATATAGGTAAGTACGTGAATTTTTTTGAGTATGATGATTTAACAGAACTTGATATGTAAGGAAGCACGTTGATATCAACTGCTTTATACAGGAACAGGAGGAGTTTCCCGCTTATATCTGACCCTTTTAAATATTTATTACTACTCCTACTGTAAACCAAATAATGGTACTGATCTTACTCATTTCCATTTTTGTATTGTGTTAAGGCAGATTATCCCTTTTATTGAAGTTGTAACAAAAATGTAGATATGATTCTAAGGATCCTACTACCTACATTTAAATTATTGTAGGTACATTCCTATTGTATTGTTTATTAAAACCCCAAAGCGACTAAATTTGGTTTAATTGTTTAATGAAGCAGTGTCTGCATCTAGTTGGTTGAAAAATAAATATGCCACTTATCCTCCCCATAAATACAAATAGCACTCTTCATCCAAAACAGATGGGCAGCCAAATAAAACTCACAGTTTAGTTCTGTTAGTAATCACAATATTGTGAAGTTTTGAAATTTGTGTATTATAGGTACTGTTGCAGGCACGTATCTATAGAGAATTTTATGGGAGGGCATTTAAGTAGGCTCAAAAGGGGGGAACTATCCTTTATTTACAAACTTTTACTTTATATGCTATAGATTGTTGTTTATGTTTGTATAAAAAAGAGCTTAGAATCAACAGATAGGTAGTGTAGATTCATTATCACGTTTTATTGACACAATACATAGGTATTAATATCAAATGGTATTTTGGCATAATAATTTCTGAAAGAAAGACGATTCAAATAGGAAAAAATTGCAGTTTTACACGTCAACTTTAATATGCTCTTTGTATTATTCTAATGGAAACCATAGTTTGTTATGACTTTATTATTTAAAATGCTCTTGTTCAACTATTCTAACGATATATATGTTACGTCGAAAGTAATTAATGCGTCGATTATTAATAATCACCGGTAAGTGTGATAAATTTGTTATTTGGGGTGAATTTCTTTTTAACACTTTAGGGGAATGGAAACTCCTGTCATTTATGAAACTCAGAAGATATTGAAATGAAAAAAAAATCATTCCGGGGCGAGTTCCGGGGGCTGTTCAAAAAGTTTTCCTTTCCTCAATTATTCACATTCACCGCCGCCGAGTGTTACATATCTGGGAAACAAGTGCGACTAATTTTCTGCAAATTTGTACATGTGAATTATTTAATCAGCGTGTTTCAACTACAATATTTTCAATTTTATACGATTTCCGGTTGTACTGGAAGCTTCCTGAGGTTATTTTAATTTTCTTAAATCTTTTCATTTTCTGTTTGCACATTTTTTTTAATTTCTCCAAAACCTGGACCAAATTGAATATAAGCGAACATAGCAGTCTTCAAGCAGTTGTAAGTGATGACTCGGCATCAGCTATAGCCCGAAAACACCCTTTTATATATATGCTTAAAACCGCATTGTTATAAAACTCACCTGATAGACCTCCAGCAGTGCAGTCCTGCCAGATTGAAGTCCAAGCAAAATCTTTATTCACTGGCAAACTGTAGGAATCTTGAGTAACTACCCTCTTATGATGTGTTCTTTTTGGTAGTTTGTCGTTAGTAACTTGTACTTTCTGTTTATATTTCACAATTTTACTGTTTTTTTCACGATCCTATAACACCATGGGTACCTGATCAGGTAGGTTTTTACAAAAACATTTCAGATACAAAGATATAAAGGAAAGAAATGAGATACTTTGAATGTAGATTACCATATGACGACTATCTTATAAATACTTCCCTGAAAACTAAAATTTCAATATTTGAGTGTTAAAGCATTGTGGTAATATCTTATTTGAACATTAGTTAAGGTGAGGTTAAAAAAATTATTTCATATGAACAATATTGTCAAGTTCAGTTCAATTTTAGAGTCAAAAGTTTCACAATTTGGAAGTGAATGGCGCACAAAAAATATTTGAAGTATTTGCTAGTAGTAATTGCTCTCAAGATTAATTGTACACTAGTTAAATCTTGGTCCTTTGAACACGAATATTAAAGAAGAAACCGGTGTGCTGTGTTGCGAGGAATCTCGCGATTTTTGCAATTTCAGTTTCGAGAGTGATTGGTTGCAATTTGGATAGATCCTAGTTTGCGTGTGCGGGACGTGTTAGTTTGGTTTGCTAGGTGTTCCAAAAAAGAAGAAGAATTTTAGGCAACATTTGGTTGATGACGTTTGGCAAGTCGGCTCCTGGAGGAAGTTCCGGACGTATAGCGATTGATGACCAGTTTTGAGATTTGAACGCCGAGTGAGGTTCAGACGTTGGTGCGTGGAAAAGGTAGTATCTTGAATTTGGACGTAGAATTTGCAATTGCTTCAACTCATTTTGTGTTGTCCTATTGTTTGAAAGATGCTTGTATTGGAGTACCTATGGTAATTTAATTGTGGGACACACCTTTGAGTTTTGCCTGAGTAGTGCTTGGTGATTGTATTTTTGCGCTTTTCATTTGATGTTGAAAGTCTGAATGGTGATGCCATCATAAGTTTACACAGCATGAGAAGAGAAAGAGGAGATACGATAATTCTAAATTATTGATTCATAACCACTTAAAAATTATATTTGATCAGCCATTTATACATAGAGACAGTTTTATTGAAGCGCGCGAAGACGTTAAACTGTAAAGAGCACTTTTGGGTTTAAGCTGATCTAGGAAGCTTTTCTATCAAGAATTGGGCAAATTTTTTAAATTTAATCTAATAAACTTGTCAAGGTTATATTGAAAAAGTGTGAAAAAAGAATAGTAGGTCAGGTTTCAATGGAATTCAATAACATTTTTGAGGAATCATACCGATATGTTAGAAACTTGGTCAGCAAAAGATTCCACTAAATCGAAACCCAAGGTTCATGTTGCATTGGTCTTCAAATGTATAATTTTTATGGTAAATCGGATCATTCGATTTACAAATGTGCAGAATTTTTGAAATTTCCACTTTTAGATACAGTTGCAAAAGTAAAAGGGTTGAAGTTATTTATTAATTGTTTAAGTGTGATCATTGGATTGACAACTGTAAACGAGATAAATGTAACCGATGTAGAGATAAGCATAATAGATTGTTGCTGCGTCAAGTTCAATGGTGTCCCTAAATGATATTTAAAGCGTTTGGGCCTGTTGTGCAAGATGAACTTTACTCTATTTTGCTTAGATTGAGATAGCATAAATTGGTATTATGTGCATATGTTGACAAGATGTAAGGCAGATTTGGGTTAGTCAAGACCAGATGAACCTACAAAAAATAGTTTGAAGAGAGTCACCCCATGATATGCCAAAAGAATACTTATTCACGATTACCTATGGTATTGCTAGTGATCATTCGCTAAATTGTGCCCGCTTCCAATAAACAATAATTATAACTTTTCATAATTTGCGGGATTAAAGGGTGTACAAAAAATTCGTGAACCTGAAAAGATGTATTTTCAAGTAGCAAACATTTTCAAATCGAGAGTGAAAAGAGTGAGTTTTTCGTGGTTTTTAAGTTAAATAGAAAGTTTGAAATGTATGCATGAAGAATTTAAGCTCAAATCTTGAAAGAGAATCTCAAATTTAAAGTTTGAAGGACATTAATTGCAGTTTTACATGTTAAATTAAAAAACATTCCAATATGCAGGAGTGTTAAAAGATGAACAATAAAGCCAAGCCGGGATTCTGATTGTAGAATCCATAATTTCAAACAGTTCAAAAGTTACAGCCCTTTGAATTTTCATTCGAAATTGGTTTCTTTTCTAGTCTATAACTTTTGATTGAGAAGTCTGATCGAAAAAGTACGAATTGTTTTGGATTCTACGCTCCAAAATTAACAAGAAAAAGTGTTTTCCCGAGAAATTTTGGTGCAGTCTATTTTTGGTTAAAAAGGAAGGTTGTACACTGCCTTTTTTTGAGGCCCTCAAAAAAATCGTCTCAGATCGACCCGGAAAAACAATTTTCTTATAGAATGTGGCCTGTAGAATCCATAATTTCTAACAGTTCCAAGATTGGGCTACTAGTTCAAAAGTTACAGCCCTTTGAATTTTCTTTCGAAATTGGTTTCTAGTCTATAACTTTTGATTGAGAAGTCTGATCGAAAAAGTAGGAATTGTTTTGGATTCTACGCACCAAAATTAATAAGAAAAAGTGTTTTCCCGAGAAATTTTGGTGCAGTCGATTTTTGGTAAAAAAGGAAGGTTGTACACTGCCTTTTTTTGAGCCCCTCAAGAAAAATTGTCTCAGATCGACCCGGAAAAAAATTTTCTTATAGAATGTGGCCTGTAGAATCCATAATTTCAAACAGTTCCAAGATTGGGGTACTAGTTCAAAAGTTACAGCCCTTTGAATTTTCTTTCGAAATTGGTTTTTTTTCTAGTCTATAACTTTTTATTGAGAAGTCTGATCGAAAAAGTACGAATTGTTTTGGATTCTACGCACCAAAATTAATAAGAAAAAGTGTTTTCCCGAAAAATTTTGGTGCAGTCGATTTTTGGTAAAAAAGGAAGGTTGTACACTGCCTTTTTTTGAGCCCCGAAAAAAAAATTGTCTCAGATCGACTCGGAAAAAAAATTTTCTTATAGAATGTGGCCTGTAGAATCCATAATTTCAAACAGTTCCAAGATTGGGCTACTAGTTCAAAAGTTACAGCCCTTTGAATTTTCTTTCGAATTGGTTTCTAGTCTATAACTTTTGATTGAGAAGTCTGATCGAAAAAGTACGAATTGTTTTGGATTCTACGCACCAAAATTAATAAGAATAAGTGTTTTCCCGAGAAATTTTGGTGCAGTCGATTTTTGGTAAAAAAGGAAGGTTATACACTGCCTTTTTTTGAGGCCCTAAAAAAAATTGTCTCAGATCGACCCGGAAAAAAAAATTTCTTATAGAATGTGGCCTGTAGAATCCATAATTTCAAACAGTTCCAAGATTGGGCT